AACACTAATCCCTAAACCCTAAACTGTAAACCCTAAACAATAAACCCTAAACCCTATACTCTTAAATCCTAAACCTTAAACCATAAAAACCAAGATGTAGCCCTAAACCCGAAATCCTAAACTGTAAACGGTAAATCCTAAACCATAAACCTTTAAACCTAAACCCTAAATCCCAAACCTTAAACTTGAAGCCCTAAACCCTAATCCATAAAGCATAAACCCTAACGCCTAAACCCTAAACCTATAAACTCTAAACTCGAAACCATAAAACATACACCCTAACCCTAAACGCTAAATCCAAAATCCTAAACCCTAAACCCTAAACACATAAACCTTAAACCCTAACCACTAAACCCTAACCCGTAAATCCTAAACAATAAACCCTAAACCCTAAACTCTAAAGCCTAAACCCTAAACCTTAAACCCTAGGCCCTAAACCCTAAACAATAAACTCCAAACCATAAACCATAAACCCTAAACCCTAAATTGTACAACCTAAACATTAAAACTAAACCGTAAACCGTTAACATTGAATTCTAAACTCAAAACCCTAAATGCTAAACTCAAATCCATAAACCCTAAACCATAAGCCATAAACCCTAAACCCAAAACTATAAACTATAAACTCTAAACTCTAAACCCTAAGCCCTAAACCCTAAACACTAAACCCTAAACCCCAAACCCTATACCCTAAACACTAAACCCTAAACCCTAAACTATAAACCCAGAACCCTAAACCCTAAATCGTAAACCCTAGCCCTAAACCATTAATCCTAAACCCTAAATCCTAAGCCATAAACCCTAAACCCTAAGCCATAAACCCTAAACCCAAAACTCTAAACCCTAAACTATAAACCTTAAACCCTAAACCCTAAACCCTAAACACTAAACCCTAAACCCTAAACCCTAAACCCTATACCCTAAACACTAAACTCTAAACCCTAAACCATAAACCCAAAACCCTAAACCCTAAACCGTAAACCTTAGCCCAAAACCATTAATCCTAAACCCTAAACCTAAACAATTAATCCTAAACCCTAAACCTAAATCATAAACCCTAAAATATAAACTTTAAACCATAAACTCGAAATCCTAAATCGTAAACACTAATACCTAAACCCAAAACTGTAAACCATAAACCATAAACCTTATACCCTTAAATCCTAAACCCTAAACCCTAAACCATAAAAACCTAGATCCTAACCCTAAACCCTAACTCCTAAACCGTAAACCGTAAATCCTAAACCCTAAACTTTGAAACCTAAACCCTAAATCACAAACCTTAAACTTGAAGCCATAAACCCTAAACCGTAAAGAATAAACCCTAACGCCTAAACCCTAACCCTATAAACTCTAAACTCGAAACCATAAAACATACGCCGTAACCCTAAACCATAAATCCAAAATCCTAAACCCTAAAACATAAACCCATAAACCCTAAACCCTAACGACTAAACCCTAACCCCTAAATCCAAAACAAAAAACACTAAACCGTAAACTCTAAAGCCTAAATCCTAAACCTTAAACCCTAAGCCCTAAACCCTAAACAATAAACTCCAAACCATAAACCATAAACCCTAAACCCTAAACCCTAAACTATACAACCTAAACCGTAAATCATAAACCCTAAACCTTAAAACCTAAACCGTAAATCCCAAACCTTAAACTTGAAACCCTAAATCCTAAACCATAAAGCATAAACCCCAAACCGTAAACCCTAGCCCTAAACCATTAATCCTAAACCCTAAACCTAAACAATTAATCCTAAACCCTAAACCTAAACCATAAACCCTAAAATCTAAACTTTAAACCATAAACTCGAAATCTTAAATCGTAAACACTAATACCTAAACCCAAAATTGTAAACCCTAAACCATAAACCATAAACCTTATACCCTATCGCCATCCCATTTCTTGAATTTTTTCTCTCTCTAAAAATTATCTCTCTAAAATTCTCTCCAATGGTACTAGGAACAGCAGTTCACTGGAATGGCTGTAGAGCCGCCGGAGAAGCAGCTCTTACCACCGGACCAGGTCCAGGTGGTGCGGAACTCCAATAGCTACATACCCTAATTGGGCGCTTCACCAAAATCATCAGACAATTCCTCAAAATTGCGACGCATTGAGGCGATCCACGTCGCGATCTCGGAAGAGGAACTGGACTGGGCACGAAAAATTATTTCCTTAGACCAATCTGGTTTGATTCATGTTAATTTAACCAGGAATAATGAATCCCCATCTAAAGATCTAGTTACAAGCCAAAAGTCACAAGATTCCATCGAGCAAATTGGGAGATCTGTGAAGGCGATTTCTGTAGAAATCGTCGAGAAATTGCCTCAGACGCGCCGCCATATTCGAACAACTTCCGATGGAAATAAAGAGGTTTCGACCACTGGGGAATCTTCCCCAGGTCTTGATGTACATCTTACTGAAATCTCGACGAGTTTTAACGGTGAAATCGCAGGACACACTAATTATGGAAAAGTCACCGGAGCTCCGATCAACAATGGAGATAAAGCTGAACACCAAAATACTCAGTGTGACAAGGACAACAACCCTGAGGTAACAATACCAACTACTCAACATGAAAATAACAATTGCAATTCTTCTAATTTTCAGGGCAAAGAGGCATCACATTCAAAGGAGCATATCAGTGAGGAAGAGCAAGAATCAGTAAGGGTGTTGAGCAAGATGAATCAAGGAAACAATCAAAATACAATGCATACACCAAATCAGATGTTTGAAGATATGAACCAAGAACAAATGAAGAGGAATGCAAAGGCAATCACAGATGAAAATGTGAAAAAAAATCTGCAAGTTGAGCGATCTGCAGCAACTAAGCAGAACCAAATAAAGAAGATGCCAAATTCTAATGAACAACTTGGAACATTCATGGATAAACAACATAACAATGGGGAGAAGTTCATTTGGCAAGCAAAGGACAAAATCAGTTCAAAGGACAACACCACACAGCATTGCGAGGAGGAAGAACGAAATCAACAAACCAACAGCAGCAAGGAGGCAGGTAAATCTGTTAACTTAGATCATAATACTAATAGTAATCAAATTGTGATTGAGAATGATGGTTTGTTGATGCAAACTAATGGAAATGGTGGAGTTGATCAGCAGGGCCATAAAGACAATAATCAAATGAACTCTAAAATCCCTCCTCCTATAAAGATCTCCTCCAACTTTGATGTCTATCGTCCTGTCCAGCAAAAAATAACCCAAAACAACGTCGAACAAACCTTGAAAAAAACCCCTGTCAGCAATTCGGTTAACAAGAACAACCACCAGCAAATCCCTGATCCTGCCCCTTCCACCGTGACTCAATCTCTAGCCACTAGACTTAGAGCTAACCAGCTGAAAAATGCAACTCCCATGATCATCGACCAGCCTATTATCACCACTCGCCAAGGATATCCGTCTATCACTTTCTATGAAGAGGATTACCTTGGTGGGCAAATTCCTCAATGCTATGCCGAAAATGGAAGCTATTAGAAAGAGTTTTATTGCGCAAACTCAACTTACGGGTGGTGTCAAGATAGCCCATTTTAATTCAAGGAATATTTACATTGACTTAGATAATGAAGCTGATCATATTTCTGTATGGAAAAGCAAAAAATGTATATTGCAGGTCAGTCGATGAAATTACAAATGTGGACTCCAACATTCAAACCGGCGGAGGAAACACCCATTGTCCCCATTTGGATTACCTTGCCGGAGCTCCCTTGGCATTGTCATTATATGGACATACTAACTCCCCTACTGTCCCCTATTGGTAAGGCATTATATTTGGACTCTGCGACCATGCAAAAAACTAGGGAAAGTGTTGCTAAGGTTAGAGTTCAAATAGATATTACTAAAGAAAGACCTCAACATGTTTGGTTGGGCTTTTCTGAAAAAGACCCTAACTTAGGCAAATGGCAAATTATTGAATACGAAGATGTCCCTTCATACTGTATATATTGTAAACATCAAGGCCATGTACTTGGAGAATGCCCCCAGAAAGAAAAAGATGATGAGTTCAAGAAAAACAAAGATCAGGAGGTTGCAAAGAAAAGTCAAGAAAAATAGAACATTCCAAATCCCAAAGGTAGTCAGCCACATACTCAATCCAAGGTGACCATACAGCCTTACCAACAAGCCAATGACAAGAAGCATATGGAGAAGAATATTACCAACGAGAAGGAGCAATGGCAAGTTCAAACCAAAAAGAAAAACAAGCATCACCAGCAAAATCAGGAACAAGGTAAAAATTTGAACCTGCAGGTACAAAAACAGCAGTCCAATAGCATACAGGTGCAGCAGAAAATGCAGCAATCAGGTATAGCTTCTAACACTCCTGTGAATGTGAACCGGAAATCTGGTGATAAGTTTTCAACTCCCCCATCCCCTGTAATTGTTGATGTTGATGATCATTGTGATGACAATCATCCCCCTGCCCCTGTATCCCCACTGGTTGTAGTTGCTGAAGTTATTGGAGGGAGGGTGGAAGTTCAGGAGAAAAATTTTAACTTACAGGAAGGGGATCCTAGGGGAAGGGTGTTTAATCATGCTCCTGCTACCACTCCTAAGAATACTCCTCAACACCAAGAAAAGATTCAGCAAACCAGAGACAAAGACACAGACACACCTGATCAACAAGTTCATATCAGTAAAGAAGCTAATAATCAGCCAAAAGGTTCTATGGCCAAGGACATGGGAAACAAGACAAGTACGAGTAGACAAATACATACTCCTAAAAGCAAGAACAAACCTAGCAAAAAAAAAGAGAGAAGCTACCAAGAGAAAACAAGCAGAACAGCAACAGCAAGAACAGGCTCCTTATGACAGTCATCCTGAAGAAAATCCCTGCAAAGACTTCATAATGATGGATCAGATTATGGATGTGGCCCCCCTTAAAGCTAAATATACCACCCCTACCTCTGGGAAGCCTCCAGATCAGTCTAAGGCCACAGTTAGAGATGAATATGAGGTGGATATCTCAGAAGATGAATTTGATGCTGATAATTTACCTATTAATGATCATGATGAGGATGATGAGATCAGTGAAGCTCTTATCAATGCTTTCAGTCCCAATAAGGACAATTTTCTAAAAAATGAAATTCAACGAGTCACTAACAAACAAGGCCTTTCCCCAGAGGCATGCATCTTGAAAGGCTCCCCCCCCCTCAAACAACCTGCTTCTCCTATTCCTGTGACAGCAGGAAGACCAAATACTAGACTCTTCACTTCTAGATCATCCCAATGATTAGTACAATCATATGGAATGTTAGAGGAATCAATACCCAAGGCGTTATGGAAAGACTCAAAAACCTCAAAAATATCCATCATGTGTCAATGATTGCTGTATTAGAACCATTCTCAGATAGCATCAATATCAATATGTTTAAAAGTATGCTCGCCATGGATCACGCTACCAGTAACACCAATGGAAAAATTTGGATTTTTTGGAACTCTGATATCTCGTGTACTGTATTGGAAGCAGATGAACAGTAGGTCACTTGTGAAATCAGCCACACTGAAATTCAGGGTAATTATATCAAAACCTTTGTGTATGCCAAATGCAAGGAATATCTCAGGGAACCTCTCTGGGACAGACGGCTTCACTTTGCTAATACTAGAGATAATACTCCTTGGTGTACAGTTGGAGACTTTAATGTCATAACTGACATTGATGAAAAATTGGGAGGTATTCCTTACAATATGAGGAAAAGTCTAGAGTTCATTAGTGTTATTGAGGCATGTGGACTCATGGATTTGGGATTTAACGGACCTAAATTCACTTGGTCTAATCAAAGGGGTATCAATTTCAGAATTTGGAAGAGGTTGGATAGGGCTATGGTTAATGATAATTGGTTGCAAAATATGCCTCACTCTTGCATCACCCATCTCCCTTCTGTGGGGTCGGATCACTGCCCTTTACTTATGGAAATGACTGCCAGGCCTGACGATTGCATCAAATATTTCAGATTCCTTAACTGTTGGGTTGAGCAACCTTCATTCGAGAACACTGTCTCTGCATGCTGGAACAGACCTATCGAAGGAAACCCCATGTGGATCTTCCATCAAAAAATGAAGAGATTAGCTTCTACTCTTAGTGCTTGGTCCAAGATGCAATTTGGTGATATTTATGCTAAAATCAGGGATTTCGAGAAAAGAGTCAAGGTAGCTGAAGACAATCTCCTTCAACACAACACAAAGAATCATAGAGAAGAGCTTCATAGTATTAATGCTGAGTATATTCGATACATGAAGTTAGAAGATGCTATCTTTAAACAAAATTCACAATTGCAATGGTTTAAAGATGGTGATGGTAACTCCAAATATTTCCATGCTTTGATTAGAGGAAGGAGGAGAAGATTATTTGTCCATAAGATCCTCAAGGATAAATGATGAATGGATACAAGGAGACGAACAGATTGCAAAGGCAGCTTGCGATCATTTTCAGCATATATTCACAGGTGAAGATAAGAAGATTGATGAACTCCCTATGGAATGTATCCCAAGACTAGTCAGCCAGGAACAGAACGACAGACTGAAAGAAATTCCATCCATTGATGAGCTTAAGGAAGTTGTCTATTCCATGAATCCCAATTCAGCAGCGGGATCGGATGGTATGAATGGTTATTTCTTCCAGAAGTGCTGGAATATTATCAACAAGGACTTGATGGCTGTGATTCATGCATTTTTCAGTGGCCAGATGATGCCTAAATATTTTTCACATGCCTGTCTTATTCTTCTGCCTAAAGTGAAGAACCCTAACAGACTCAATGAATTCAGGCCTATCAGCTTGAGTAATTTCATTACCAAGATTAGTTCTAAGCTTTTATGTCTTAGATTAGCTCCTATTTTACCTAGTCTGATTTCTCCAAATCAATCAGGCTTTGTAAAAGGTAGAAGCATATCGGAGAACATTATGCTAGCTCAAGAAATTATACACCAGATTAAGAAACCTATTATTGGAAGCAATGTTGTGATCAAGCTTGATATGGCAAAAGCTTACGACAGGGTTTCATGGTCATATATTTGTTTGATCCTAAGAAAAATGGGCTTTGAAGAGATTTTCATTGACATGATATGGAGAATTATGGCCAACAATTGGTACTCTATCATTCTTAATGGTAGAAGATATGGTTTCTTCCATTCGACTAGAGGCCTTAAACAAGGTGATCCACTATCCCCAGCCCTATTTATTTTAGGTGCTAAGGTGTTAGCTAGGTCTCTGAACAGTCTCCACCAACATCCTCTTTATCATGGCTTCTATATGGAGATGAGAGGACCTCAGATTAACCACCTAAGTTTCGCGGATGACATCATAATTTTCACCTCGGGGAGGAAGGTTTCTCTCAAACTCATCATGCAGACCTTGGCTACTTATGAAAAGATCTCTGGTCAACTCATTAACAAAGACAAGAGTCATTTTCTGCTCCATCCTAATGCCTTCAGAACTACGTGCGACAGAATTGAAAGGTATACTGGATTTCATCAAAAGGAGGCTCCTATTACGTATCTTGGCTGTCCACTCTTTATTGGAAGAGCGAGACTGATCTACTTTTCTGAGCTTATCAGCAAGATAATGAATAGAATTAATGGTTGGCAATCTAAGATGCTAAGTTATGGGGGTAAAGCCACCTTGATTAAGCATGTACTTCAATCCATGCCAATCCATATTCTTTCTGCTATTTCCCCCCCCCCCCCCTCTAGTATTCTTAAACAGATTCAAGGCATTATGTCTGACTTTCTTTGGGGATGAAGAGATGACAAGAAAAAGTATCATTGGTCATCATGGAAAAATCTTAGCTTTCCGTATGAGGAAGGGGGAATTGGAGTAAGGCAAATGAATGATGTTTTCCAATCATTCCAATTTTAAACAAAAAGAAAAAGAACAAAAAACAAAATTAGAAAATGAGATAATTGAATTTAAAGAAAAATTGCAATTACGAGAAGAATTAGGAGAAAAAGGAGAAAAAGAAGAAAATGACCAAGATAATCTACCCGAAATAAGAGTTGATGAAATAAACGATGATGATCTAGAACAACATTCGGAAACAAGCGAAACATATACGGAACTTTTAGCAAACATAGATAATACAAAGAATTTAGAAGTAAACACAGAAGACGTAGACATAGGCGAAAAACCTAGCACATCAGGAGTAAAAAACTCAAAAAATTTTAATCCAAAATATTATAATGAAAATTATGAACAATATGGTAAAGAAAAAACTACATGGGATAAAAGATTAAATAAAAAATGGACGCCTAAACCAATAACTGGACAACATGAATTTTTAGATTTAGACTGTGTAGCAGACATAAATAAAACAATCCAATTATGGGTAGGATACATATCAAAACAATTAATAGATAACAAGATAGTAATAGCAGAAGCACCAGGATACATAGAAAGAACACTTATAGGAACAGTAAAATTATGGCTACAAAATTTAACAAATGAAAGCTAACTACTTTAAGAAATAATAAAAAATTTGATGGTG